CCAGCGCCTCCACAGGCACCGCCGGCCGGCGAGAGCGCTCAGGCTGGGCCGGCGCCCCGGCCCCGGCCAGGAGCCAGGCTCGGAGACCCACGGCGCGCCACTGTCCAGGCAGCTCTCGGGAGTGTCTGCGTCCCCCAAGGCCCCTCAGGCCCTCGAGTGTTGAGCGCAAGCTAACTCGACTGCGTCTGAAAGACCCCAGACTTCCGTTCTCCGGCTTAAGTCGCCCAGACGTGCGATCAACTCCAGCTCGCGTGTTTAGCCGGACAGCCGACTCGAGACGTGGGGAAGGAAGACCAACCCGGGGAGGCGGGCAAGCAAAGCGGCAGCCCTCCTCCGAGGGCAGCAGCCAGGCCCCGCCAGCTCCTGTCGTCTGGGGCCGCTCCGCGCCGCTCCGCCTGCAGCCGCGCTCGAGCCGGCCCGGGCGTGTCAAGGGCCCGAGACTGGACGGGCGGGGGCCGTCTGCAGGGCCTCCAAAGAACTCTGCTCTGAAAGGCGAACACTCTCCTGCGGGCCTGTAGCCACCGGCCCGCTCTCGGAGGCGTCTGGAACTTGAATCTGCCCTGATCCTCACGAGCGGACGCCCCGACCCTGACTGGAGCCAACGAAGCGTCAAAAGAAGCCGTGGCGGGGCACGCCTGTAATCCCGGCTACTGGGGAGGCTAAGGCAGGAAGAACAGTTGAGCCCGGGAGGTTGAGGCTGCAGTGAGCTACAATCGTGCCACTGTACGATAATTTAAAACAAAACAAAACAAAACAAAAACAGTAAAAAGACATTTTTGAGACAATTTGGGAAAAATGAACTGGTTAAACAGTACACTGGACACAGCTGACAAGAGACTCAGTAAACCAGAGTATGAACAGAAGAAATCATCCAGTATGCAGTTCAGAAAAATACAGGAGATTAAGAAATTATTGCTAAATGTAAGAATGACATTGAGGACCTATCATTAAGTCCTTTTGTGTTTTAAAGAGAATTATTATAGCCCATTTTCAAAAATTAATAACAAATTGACATGGCTCCAGGTCAGAAATGTTCCCTGGCACCAAAGAGAAACAAATGTAAATTTTCTCTAAAGAGACACATCCTCAATCCAGGTCCTCAGTATCCCAGATTAAATTCAACCAAATATGCATTAACAGTAAAAAAAGTACTGTACATAGAAGGAAATAAGCCACATAGAGCAAGAATCAACAAAACCAAATTTAAGCACCCCCAAATTTCAGATTTTGGAATTACCATATAATATAAAATAACTATGAATACAATATTAACATAAATCAAAGATGAATTAAAATAAGCAAAGGCCAAGAATTTATTTCTTTAAATGGCCAGGCAGATTTTCCAAAGAAAACTTCTGAAGATGAAATATACAGTTGTTGAAATAAGAAACCCAATGGCTGGATTATAGAACATTGAATACAGATGAAGAAAGAATTGATAAACAGGAATACTGAGCAGAAAAAATTACCCAGAATGTAGACCAGAACAACAGAAAGATGGAAATTTGGAAGATAAAAGCAAGCGGAGGATTCAATGAGAGGAACATATATTTAATCTGGAACACAGATTATTTAATCTGTGTTCCAGATGGAAATTTAGGAAGAATGGAGAAAAGACAAGTTTCTGAGAGACTGGGGGTGGGGGGGGAAGGCAGATTAACCACTGAGATTTTTCTAGAACTAGTGAAAGACATAAAATCGCAGATACAGAGTATAACTTATGCCAAGTGAATAAATAAAAAGAAATTTATAATTAGACACATAACATTGAAATTGCAGAATACAAAAGACAGAGATCTTAAAAGACCACTTATTTTTAAAAAAACAGAGCAAAAGGCTTCTCAACAGCAAAAGGCTCTCAACAAACCGGGAAGAGAGTGGGGAATATGCTGAGTGAAGATAACTATCAAAATGGAATTCAAAACCTGGCAAAAACCAACAACTTCTGGGGCTAAAAATAATGATATAAAATAGATCTTTGCTTTTCACTTTCCTGTGTCTGTATCTAGATGTAATGATACTAGACAATAGCAGCACATGAATAGGCCATGCAATAAGAAAAATCGAATGTATAACTTTCAACCATAAAAGCATAAAAAATGGAAAGTGGGAGAAAGTGAAAAACAAAGTTTTATTTTATTAATCAAATTCTAAACCTCCTACCTGGCAAGAAAGCTGGTATTGCCTACCTTTTTTCAAAGAGACCATTTATGGTGGAAAGGTGGACTTCTGTCCCTACCACATCTATGTTAGACAGGGATTCATTCTGCCTGGCATTAAGAAGAATCCAGCTGATGGGAAACATACACAGAGGTCTGCATTCTGCATGGCATCAAATATACTGCTGGTGCTATAACTTGAAGAAAGTAAATCCAAGAATTATTACGGGTCTTCTGCATGCATAGTTTATATTCCAGCCTGTCAAAGACAACACAGCCACTTGGAAAAGGTCAACTTAAGTGTGAAACTACAACAATGTGAGAGGACCATCAAGTTCACCTTCACAAAGCAGATGATATTAATACACTCCTCTATCACACTTGAAGGATAAAAGTGTGACTGATATAATATTTTACACCCACAGAGTACACTTTGCACTTATAATCTTAGGATTATGATCTTACAAAAAAGGGAATGATCAGAGATATTAAAGTTCTCAGAGATTTAAAAAAATAGGTTGGGTGTGGCGGCTCATATCTGCAATTCCAGCACTTTGGGAGGCCAAGGTGGGAGCAGTGCTAACGTGGTAGCTCAGGACCAGCCTGGGCAACATATTGAGACCCTGTCTCTACAGAAAAAACTAAAATATCAGCCAAATGTGGTGATCTGCGCCTGTCGTCCCAGCTACTCAGGAGGCTGAGGTGGGAAGGAACACTTGAGCCTGGGAGACGGGGACTGCAGTAGGCTATGACTGTGCCACGACCCTCCAGCCTGGGCGACAGAGCGGAACCCTGGCTCGAAAAAAAACCTCAAGCAAATAAAATAATAATAATAATAGCATAAATAAAAATTAATTCACCAAAGATGAACAAAATCAAGAAAATGAAACAAAAGTAATCAAAGAGAAGGAAAAGAATAGAAAAAAGGAAAGGTAGTTCAAGGACTGGCTGGACTCAGGGCATCCAGTTCAGACAACAGGAAGTTTCAAAACAGAGAATTTAAAAATGAGCAAAAAAAAAGTTAAGGCCAATATAAAATTTAGATAACGAAAATGCAGAAACAAAATGAGACAATGAAATAAATAAAGCTTGTCTAGAGAGTTTTAGCCAACATCCTGCGGGCACAGAACAGGCGGCTGTGCCCTTGGGCCCGCAGCACGTGGGCGGGGCAGCTCACCTGTTCTGCTGCAGTGCCTCCTCCAGGACGTCCTGCTTGTCCTTCAGCATCCGATGGAGGTACCGCATCTCCTGCTGGTACTGAGCCGTCTTGCCTGCGAAGTCCTCCTGCTGCTCCATCAGACGGTGACTGATGTCACCCAGCTTCAGAGCTGCAAGTTTCTTAAAGCCCTGCGGGAGGAGGAGGGACTCAGTGACCAGGGGATGCTGCCTGGGGCCCAGGTGGCCGGCGCCTCCTGGCCACACTCCCTACCTACCCCTGGCGGTGCCAGAGCCCACTAAGTCAAGCACAACCCAGGCAGGTCTGGTCCAGGAGGGCCAGTTCGAATCCTGAAAGTAATAAAAAGTGATAAATAATTTCAAGTACAATAAAACCAACTTTCTAATTTGTATTACGCCTGTTTTTATATACTACAAACAAAATCAAAACATAAAACATCACCATCACAGAACAAAGTAGATGCTCCTGCATACCGATCTATTTCTGCATTTTTTCCAGGACACTTTTTAACCCCTGATCAACTGGTAACTAATGTTGACACTCGTCAGCATTATTTTACCTCGCCAAGAGAGTTTCATGGAAGAAACCAACAAGGTCAAACAGATAACTGAGATAAAAGCCTGAGTCATTCATTTTGTTTCATTTTTATTGTATAGTACTTAAGGTTCTGAATTACCCTCTAAGTAGTTCTAAGGTTGTTGTCACACAGAGTCTGACATGTAGTTCACACAGATTTAATTTTTTTTTTTTTTTTTTTTTTTGAGTTGGAGTCTCACTCTGTCGCCCAGACTGGAGGGCAGTGGCCGCTCCCGGCCACCGCAGCCTCGACCTGCTGGGCTCTGGCGATCCTTCCGCCTCAGCCTTCTGAGTAACTGGAACTACCGGCCAGCTAATTTTTGATTTATTGTAGAGATGAGGTCTCACCGAGTTGCCCAGGCGGGTCTCGAACCCACGGGCTCAGGCAGTCCACTCACCTCAGCCGCCCAAAGGCGTGGGACTACAGGCTGAGCCACCGAGCCCAGCTCAGATTTCATTTTTAAAAGAAATTTGACATTCAATTTATACACTGTCTTTGACCCAAGAATTGGTTTAGTGCAGCTTTTACACTTTATTTATTTATTTTTTGGAGAAAGTAGGATTTATTGAGAGAACAGAAAAGCTCCCACAGCGTGAAGGGACCCAAAGGGGTAGTTTTTACACTTTTAGATTAAAGAACCTTTTTGCTTTCTGATTTGGTTTATTAATTTCTGGTTTTCATATTTGTGATCAACAAATGTCTACATTATTTCTACTTTAGTGAGGCTTTCTTTGTAGTCAAGCTATAATTAATTTTTGTTACTGTTACTTAAGAATACAGGGAGGACCCAAAAAACCCAGAATTTATTTATTAAAAATTGTGTTTTTATTCTTCCATGTTTAGACTTTAGTCACCTTCAAAGTACTCTCCATTTGATGCAATACATCTATTGAGATACTTTTTCCACTGTTCAAAATCAGTTTTTTTGTTTCGTTTTGTTTTGTTGTTTTGAGTTGTAGTCTCACTCTGTCACCCAACTTGTCAACTTGGATGCCTTCTGTGCTTCTACCATTTCTTGTTTCACCTCTTCCACAATGGCAAAACATTTCCCTTTTGAGAACTTTTTTCATCTGGGGAAACAAAAAAAAGTTGCCCGGGGAGAGATCGGGTGATACTGTTTCTGGTCAAAAACTTCTGAACACTCAGCAATGTGGCCAGGTGTGCTCGTAAATCACCCATCATGAAATGTACAGATGTGTTGAAAGAATCTCAAAAAAAAAAAAAATTCACTGAAGACGAACACAACCTCTCACAACACTAGCTCTATGCTGATGCCGAGGGGTTCCTAGAACACTTACCTAGAGGGGGAAGCCTGATTCCAAAAGATAATTCCAGGGTTGTTTTTTTTTTGGTTCCCCCATATACTCTGATTATATTGTTAATTCTTCTATATTCCTATTTATATTTAACTTCTTTTTTTTTTTTTTTGTAGAGACAGGGTCTTACTATGTTGTCCAGGTTGGCCTCAGCAAGCTCCCTAAGTGCTAGGATTACAGGCATGAGTCACCACTGTGCTTAGACACTGCTTAGCTTCTTGATTAGTAGGGGACCAAGAGATGCAGATTAAAGCTCCTGTTCTTACTAAGCAATATTCCCAAATTGCTGGATTATAGGCATGAGCCACTATGCCCAATCTTTGCTTTCTTTCTGTTGCATAAATCTGGGTTATCTTCACCCAGCCTTTTAAATCTTTCAGAAGCACTTTGTTTCAGTTTACTCTTTGAATCTAGCAAGGAAGAGCATTTTGCTTTATAATCCAATCTAAAAAATATCGTTTTCCCTGATGGGTGAATTGAGCTAATTTACATTTATTTATGTGACAGTTTTGTTTGGTCTCAGTTTTGTCATTTTATTTTGCTGTTTGTTCTACATATGTTTTTAAGATTTTTAACTAACGTAGTCTGTTTTCTTTGCTCTTGTTTGCTGTTATAATTCTACCATTATTATTATTATTATTTTATTGTTTTAAGAAACAGAGTCTTACTGTTTCCCAGGCTGAGTGCAGTAGAACAATCACAGTTCAATGCAGCCTCAAATTCCTGGGCTCAAGTGACTCTCCTACATAACTGGGACTAGGTGTATACCATTATACCCAGCGAATTAAAAAAATTTTTTAGAGACAAGGTCCTCTATGTTGCCCAGGCTGATATGGAACTCCTGACCTCAAGTAATTCTCCTGTCATAGCCTCCCAAATAGCTGGGATTGCAGGACAAAATACCCTGCAACTCCAGGCTCTAATTCTACCCCTTAAATAGATCTCTTGATTCTTGTGGTTACTTTTATACTTATGTGGTTATATTACACATCCTTAGGCCCTTTTTTTAGATAGTGTCTATTGGCTCCCTATCAATGGCAATCATGCATTACCACTTACTACTTGATTTTTCAGCTTTTTTTTTTTTTAATTTTTTTTATTTTAAAGATGTGGGGTACAATTCAGTGTTAGGTATACAAATGCTCACTATGCAGGTCCCCTTGTTGATGAGGTGTGCCCTCCCTCCCCAGGCAGACTCCCACTACTGCCAATCCCGCTTCCCCACCCCCCTCCCGGCAGTTTCCCGCTACAGCCAATCCTTTTCTTATAGTATTATGATAATTGTTCATGGTCCGCTTATGAGTGAGAACATGTGATACTCGGTTCTTTGTTTCTGTGAAAGATCACTCAGTATTATAGACTCTAAGTCCACCCAGGTTGCTGTGAAATTCACAGCTTTGTTCTTCTTTACGGCTGTGTAATATTCTATCGTGTATATGTACCACATTTTTTTTTTATCCAGTCTTCTTTTGACGGGCAGCACGGTTGGTTCCATATTCTTGCTATTGTGAACAATGCTGCAACAAACATACATGTGCAGGTATCTTTTTTATAGAGTGACTTGAGTTCTTCCAGGTATATTCCTAGTAGGGAGACTGCAGGGTCATATGGAAGGTCGATTTTCAGATCTTTTAGGAATCACCACACTATTTTCCACAGAGGCTGTACTAGTTTACACTCCCAACAACAGTGTAGATAGAAGTGTTCCCTTTTTGCCGCGTCCTCTCCAGCATCTGTTGTTTTTTGAGTTGATGTCCTGACTGGAGTTAGGTGGTATCTCAGTGCGGTTTTAATTTGCATTTCTTTGATGAATAGTGAGGCTGAGCATTTTTTCATGTATCTGTTGGCTGCTCATATGTCTTCGTCTGAGAAGTGTCTATTCATCTGTTGCCCACTTTGTAATGGGGCTGTTGTTTTTTCTTTTCAGCACATTTGAGTTCTTTGTAGATCCTAGATGTTAGGCCTTTGATTTTTCAGCTTTAAATGATATCCTTTGACTCATTACATATATGCTATCAACAAGTTTACTTTCTATCTTCCTTCCCACTTTGCCTGTCATTTCTGCCTTGGTTGTGTTATTTCCCCATTGTCAGAAAACATTTACATGCTATTCTATCCGCCTTATCATCATTTTAAGTCTTATTTTATTGTTAACTATATTATTTGCTCACTATAAGTTAATGTTGCCAAAGTTTCACCCGTTATTTCTCGGTTGGTACAACGCACACGCATGGATCCTCAGGAAGGGACAATGGAAGAAATGTTCCCAGAGTTGTATATGTTCAAAACTGTCTAAAGGGCAGCTTGGCTGGGTCAAAACATCCTTGGTGTGCACCCTCCTTCCTGGAGTACTGATGGATGGCACTCTGCTGTTCTCTGGCATTCAGGTTCTCTGGCATGCTGGGAAGTGATGTCGATATGGTTTTCTTATGTCTGGGTCTTTTGCATGGGTGTTCAAGGTAGATGCTTTTTGGTTATCATAAAGTCATATGTCTTGGTGTCAATTTTCCCCAGGTATATAATATGCTCTTTCAATATGCAGATTCAAGTCTTATTTCAGAAAAGCTTTTATGAATTAGTTGGGAGCAGAGTAAGCCACTGTCCTGGTCTCTGCTTTGGAAACTCTAGCAGTAAGTATATTAGGTCTCTGACGCTCTCTGCTGAACTCCTTTTACATCGCCTTTTCTGCTCTTTTGTCTTTGTCTTTCTCATTTCTACCCTTTATGTCCCTTATTGTGCTTTTATGAGATCCTTCTCCGATAATTTAGTCTGGATTTCTAAAGTGGTTTCTCTTTTCCTTCTATTTATTTCCTTGTTGTGTCAGTTCCATTTCACATCCTCCTGCTCTGGCCATCTCTTCTTGAGGTGCCTGTTTCTGCTCTGTGATATTTCTTCCTAGCTTTCTTTTCTTTTTTCTTTTTTTTGAGTTGGAGTCTCACTTCATCACCCAGGCTGGGTGCAGCGGCACGCTCACGGCCACCCCAGTGTCGACCATCTGGGCTCAGGCGATCCTTCCGTCTCAGCCTTCCAAGTCACCGGAACTACAAGCGTGCGCTACCATGTCCAGCTAATTTTTTGATTTATTGTAGCGATGAGGTCTCGCCAAGTTGCCCAGGCTGTTCACAAACCCTTGGGCTCAGGCAATCCCCTCACCTTGGCCTCCCAAAATGCTGGGATTACAGGCTTGAGCCACTGCACCCAGCCTCTTCCTAGCTTTCACTGTTTTATTAAGTTGATCTATCTAGCTATCCCTACCTGCTTTTGGTGTTTAGGTTGTAAGTTTTTTGTTTTCTGTTTTGAGTTGGAGTCTCATTCTGTCACCCAGAGAGGAGTGCAGCAGCATGCTCCTGGCCACCACAGCTTCAACCTGCTGGGCTCAGCCTTTCCAGTAGCCAGAACTACAGGCATGTGCCACCACAGCCAGCTACTTATTTTTTTATTTATCGTAGAGACAAGGTCTCGCCAAGTTGCCCAGGCTGGTCTCGATGGGTTATAAGTTTTGACCTTCTTTGTGGCAACATTTTTTCTGACAAATCTTCAGCAGCCTTATTCAGTAGGAAAGTTATACTTCAGTTTTTCTTCTGTTTCCTTAACGTATTTTTGCACAGAGGCCACCGAATTACTTGGGACGAGATGAGGCTCCTGAGGTCTGCCCCTGCAAGCCCTTCCCAGGTCTCTGAACTCAGACTGGCTTGGAGGGGCTTCTGCCGCACCCACAGGTGTTCAGATCTCATCTGGGCCCTGACTTCCAAGGCAACATCTCCCTTTTAGAAGTCATACCCTGCTGAGGTTTCCTGGGATGCCTCCTCTGGATTGCCTCAAGGCTTTTCTTCTCTTCACTTCTTCAGAGATGCTGACCGGTCTAACCTGGATCCTGCTTGTACTTTATTTCTCTGGGTGAACTCTTTTTACTACTCCCATTCAGAAGAATCATAATGACATGGATTCCCAAAACCAACTACTCTGAAGCTCACACCCTCTCTTTTAGAAATAAAAGCCAGCAGGAAATCAGGAAAAATATAAATAAGAGAAACACCCACCAAGGAAAGTTCAATTTCTCATGGTACTTCTACGTACACGCCCCTCATTAATAGCATGGCATGAGACTCTCTGATACAGAGTTATTACTTTGTACACTGCTTTTAATGTGTTGAATTTCAAAAATAATTTATTTCATTCATTGCCTTTTTTTTAGACAGGGTCTCACTCTGTTGCCCAGGCTAGAGTGGAGAGGTGTGATCATGGTTCACTGTAGCCTCTAATTCCTGGGCTCAAGTGACCCTCCCACCTCAGCTTCCCAAGTAGCTAGAACTATAGATGTGCACCACCACACCTGGTTCATTTTTAATTTTTTGTAAAGACAAGGTCTCACTATATTGCCCAGGCTAGTCTTGAATTCTTGGGCTCAAGAAATCCTCCCACCTCAGCCTCCCAAAATGTTGGGATTACAGACACGAACTACTGTGCCTGGCTTGCTCCCCAAATATTTAGTGAATTTACCAACTGCTATGTGTCAGGTGCTATTCTAGGTGCCTGGGACATACCAGTGAATAAAAACACTGTCCTCGGGAAGCTTACAGCCTAGTTAGGGGACGTAGACAATAACCAGTAAACACAATAAACAAGTCACATAGTCTGTTAGAAGGTGATGCCATCTATGGAAGAAACAACAAAGCAGGGTAATGAGAATCAGGAGAGTGGAAGAATGGGTGAACAGCAATTTAAAATAGTTAAGGTATACCTCAGACAAGGTGACATGTGGATATTCTAGCGGGGGCACAAGCATGTCAAACTTATGAACAATTTAACTAATAACAACAGAACAGATGCCGTATAACTATCCAAGGTTGTAGAACATTATCAGTATCCTGGAAGCCCCCAGTGTCCCCTCCTTAGATATCAAACTCATTTTTTTAAAGATATGGGGTCTCAGTCGGGCTTGGTGGCTCAGTCTGTAATCCCACGCCTTTGGGAGGCTGAGGTGAGTAGATTGCTTGAGCCCGCGGGTTCGAGACCCGCCTGGGCGGCGAGACCTCATCTCTACGATAAATCAAAAAATCAGCCGGGCGTGGTAGCGCGTGCCTGTAATTCGGGCTACTCGGAAGACTGAGGCGGAAGGATCGCTGGAGCCCAGCAGGTCGAGGCTGCAGTGGTCGGGAGCGGCCACTGCACTCCAGTCTAGGCGACAGAGTGAGACTCCAACTCAAATACATAAATAAATAAATAAAGATACAGGGTCTCAATATGTTGCCCAGGCTGGAGTGTGGTGGCTATTCACAGGTGCAATCATAGTTTACCCTAACCTGAAACTTCTGGACTCAAATGATCCTCCTGCCTCGGCTTCTCAAGTAGCTATAGGAACACATCACTGTGCCTGACTATTAATCTCATTTTGGCAATAATCATCTCCCTACTTTAAAAATAAACTCTTGGCCAGGTGTGGTCAAATTGCAATCCCAGCATTTTGGGAGGCTGAGGCAGGAGGATTGTTAGCCCAGGAATTTGAAGCAGCCTGGGTAACATAGTGAGACCCTGTATTAACCAAAAAACTTAAAGATTTGCCAGGCATAGTGGCACATGCCTATATCCCAGCTGCTTGGGAGGTTGAGGCAGGAGGATCACTTGAGACTAGGAGTTCAAGGCTCCAGTGAGCTATGATTGCACCACTGAATTTCAGCCTGACTCTTAAAAATTTTTTTTAATTTTTTTAAAAATTGAAAAAAAAGAGAAAATGACACATTTTGCATGTGTGTCACTAACCATCCACAGAGTAAAGTACTATAAGGTTTCAATGGCAGAAATAGCACCTCTCGACTCATTAAATAAACTTTGGTTATTTAATACTGTGCAGCTGTTTAATACATGCGCAGCTATCATGAAGCTAATGTCCAGGCTTTATCACGAAGCCTAGCATCTATGGCTCAGTTGGACAGCAGGAATCCGTTGATGATGTTTAATACGACGGGGGACACTCCAAAACACTTATAATTAACTTTGGAGGGCGGGCCCCTTTGTCGTACAGGCGTCCCCCGCTAGGTAAGTGTTCTAGGATCCCATCGGCATCAGTGTACCAGCTAGTGGTGTTGTCAGAGGCTGCATTCTGAGAAAGGGCCTGAGTTGTGGCCAACAGCTGACTGGTTCCTCCATCACGACAATACACCCGCCCACACCGTGCTGAGCTTCCGGCAGTTTCTGACCAAAAAATGACATGACCCCCATGCCCCACTCTCCCTATTCACCTGCTTTTGCCCCAAGCAACTTCTTCTGTTTCCCCAGATGAAAAAAAGTTCTCAGCTGGGCATGGTGGCTCACATCTATAATCCCAGCACTTTGGGAGGCTAAGATGAGATGAATGCCTGAGTCCACGCATTTGAGACCAGCCCGGGCAACTTGGCGAGACCTCATCTCTACAATAAACCAAAAAATTAGCAGGGCGTGGTGGCGCATGCCTTTAGTTTTTGCTACTTGGAAGGCTGAGGCGGAAGGATCGCCTGAGCCCAGCAGGTCGAGGCTGCGGTAACCATGAGATTGTGCCACTTCACTCCGGCCTGGGTGGCAGAGTGAGACTCCAATTAAAAAAAAAAAAAAAAAAGGAAAAAGTCCTCAAAGGGAAATGTTTTGCTGATGTGCTGATGTGGAAGAGGTGAAACAAAAAATGGCAGAAGCACTAAAAGGCATTGAAATTGGCCAGTTCAAAAAGGATTTTGAGCCGTGGAAAGGGCATCTCAACAGGTGTCTGGCATCACACGGAGAGGACTTTGAAGGTGACTGAAGTCTAAATATGTAAGAATAAATACACAATTTTTTATAAATAAATTTCAGGTTTTTTTCCCCCCTTTTTGTATGTTGGAAAATTCACAGATTAAGAAAAACTAGACATTGGCTGGCTTGTATGTAAATATCATGATATTAGATGAGCAGTAGATATATAATGTATGTTGTGAAATTGTTTTGTTTCAGGGAACATACAGTTTAGCCCTGAAGTATTTATTTTTAAAAAGTTACATGAAACAAAACCTGTCTTAAAATTGCTGAGACCTAAATATGTGTCCTAATGCAAGTAATATATTTTATTTTCCTATTTTTGCTTATGTTTTCTAGATATTGCATAACTGATGTGGATATTAAATTTCTAGAAGTTCACTGTCACGTAGGTTCTGGTTTTCAGATGCAATGGCAGAGAAGCTGCCAGAGGCGGGGTCTGCCATGTGCAGCGTCCCTGAGCTACTCCAGCATGGGTTCTGGGACTCCCCCAGGGAAGATCACCTCTCTCTACCTAAATCCAGGGAAGACCGGCATATTCGCCAGACATCACTGTCCCATTCACAAGGGACAGGGGCCTTTTGCAGTCAGGAGACATTCTCACCACCAGTCCAGGGTACCCTTTCCCCTTGTGAACCAGAGCAGCTCCACTATTTCTATTTTTTCTTTTTTCTTTGCTTTTATTTTTTGTAGAGATGGGGGAGTTCCTGGCCTTAAGTGATCTTCCCATCTCAGCCTACCAAAGTGCTGGGATTACAGGCATGAGATACCATGCCTGGCTCAAAATGTGTCAGTTTCTTAAACACAAAAATCCACACCAGTGAGACTCCATTTCCATTTGAAAATGGAATCTCTGAGGCTAAATGACCACTTACCTTGACTTTCTGCTCTAACTTTCCATAGAGAATATTGTTTTTTAGGATTTTGTTGAGAACTTCAGACTTCTCACTTTGTAAACATTTCGTCTAAAGAGAACAGAATCATCATCAGCATCTCTCAATTTTACAGAAAAATTAAAATGATAAAAAAATTCTTTTGCAAGGAGTATGACTGCTCACAAGTAATCACTCCGCCACCTGTCTTGTCCCAGCCCCTCTCCCCATTCCCCACCGGTATCCCTCAGCCCCTGTGTGAGGCCAGGGGCAGGAGTCAAGCAACAGCTGGGGAAAAGAGAAGCAGGAACAGCAAGACGAAGAGCAGACCTGAGCCCCACAGACCGGGGGAGTGGGAGCGTCTGGAAGGGCTTCCAGAACACACCTCTATTCTGCTGGAGCCTGTCGTCCTTTCAGTCACATCCAAGGAGTAAGTGCCAAGATGCACATCATATCGACCAACTTAAATAATTCCAAAAGTAGAGACAACTTAATACGAACATGCAACGCCATTCTCCAAACCAAGTGTGAAGGGCAATACGTCCAAGAGATACGTCATCTGAAGCTGAAAGGCTTAGACTACTATCTAAGTGGCAAATAACTTACTATGCACTATAAATCAGCCATTTCAGATGCTAAAACTAAAAAAAAAAGGAAAGGCGAGCATTCTTCCCTGTCCTGGTAGTGACAGTTCAGTTCGATCTGACTGACAGGAAAGTTACAAAGAAGTTGCTCCAAGTAATGTGAAAAATCCATCCTAGAGGCGGGATTAGAAATTAAGACCTCTAGCTGGGCTCAGTGGCTCAGCCTGTCATCCTGCGCCTTTGGGAGGCTGAGGTGAGTGAATTGCCTGAGCCCGCGGGTTCGATTCCTGCCTGGGCAGCGAGACCTCATCTCTACAATAAATCAAAAAAATCAGCCGGGTCTGGTAGCACATGCCTATAATTCCGGCTGCTCGGAAGACTGAGGCGAAAGGATCACCGGAGCCCAGCGGGTCGAGGTTGCGGTGGCCGGGAGCGGCCACTGAACTCCAGTCTGGGCGACAGAGTGAGACTCCAACTCAAAAAAAAAAAAAAGAAATTAAGACCTCAGCTGGGCGCAGTGGCTCAAGCCTGTAATCCCAGCACTTTCAGAGTCAAGGTGAGGGGACTGCCTGAGCCTATGGGTTCGAGACCAGCCAGGGCAACTTGGTGAGACCTCATCTCTACAATAAAATTAAAAAATTAACTGGGCATGGTAGCGCACAACTGCCATGGCTACTTGGAAGCCTGAGGCAGAAGGATCGCCTAAGCCCAATATGTCAACACTGGGGTGGCCGTAAGCGAGCCACTGCACTCTAGCCCGGGCATCAGAGTGAGACGCCAACTCAAGAAAAAAAAAAAAAAAGAAAGAAAGAAAGAAATTAAGACCTCTGCATTTAAGGCTATTGTGTCCCCACAGAAATGGGATACGTGAAAGATGGTGTCGCCAGGTGCAGCGGCTCACACCTGTAATCCCAGCACTTTGGGAGGCAGAGGAGAGAAAAGTACCTGAGTCTATGGGTTTGAAACCAGCCTGGACAACATGGTGAGACCTTGCCTCTGCAATAAATCAAAACATTAGCCAGGCATGGTGACACATGCCTGCAGTTTCAGCTACTTGGAAGGTTGAGGTGGAAGGATTGCCCAAGCTCGGCAGGTCAAGGCTGTGGTGGCCGGGAGTGTGTCACTGCACTCCAGCCTGGGCGACTGAGACTCCCCTCCCCTTCTCCTTCCGCTTCCCCTTCCCTTCCATCTGCTCCCCAGCCCACTGTGCAAAGACCAAGGGACTGCTCCACGCTGTCCACCACCTCTGCCAACCGAGCACTCCACTTGGGGGCCTGAGGACGAACCCACCCAGCCTGCCACCACCACCACCACTGACACCCACCTGTACATGCCACCAGGGGTTCTGGGGACTGGCCTGCTTAGCCCATTGCAGCATTATTATTATTTTTTTTAATAGCAGGATTTGTTGAGAAGACAGAAAAGTTCCCACAGTGGGAGGGAGCCCAAGAGGGTTGGTCCTACAGCCATTATTAACACTCTTGAGTGCCACCTGGAAACACCATAAGGACCCAAGGACTCATCCACCTGCCTGGTCCATTGTTGCCACTACCAGCACCTGAGCAAGTCACCTTGAGGCCCAAGAATCAGCCTGCCTGGACCTGCTGACATCAGTGTTCTACTCACCTGCCGCTCACTTCCTGCTATGCTGCCCGGTTCCACCCAGGGGCACCAGGACAAGCACACTTGACTTGCCCTGCAACTACAAGGGCCTGGGACTGGCCCACCTGGAAGCTCATCCCCAGCAAATCCTCACCACAGCTCCCCACTAACAACTGTAGACTAAGCTACTGAGGAAATCACAGACACCACTGATGCTGTTTGCAGCTGAGGTAATCGCACAAAGACTATACTCTGCACACATCCAGACTCAGAACTAAAGTACCTCACCTGCCAGCTCGGTGGCTCAACCTGTAATCCCAGCGCTTTGGGAGGGTGAGGTGAGAGGACTGAGCCCGCGGGTTCGAGACCCGCCCGGGCAACTTGGCGAGACCTCATCTCTACAGTAAATAAAAAATTAGCCGGGTGTGGCAGCATGCGCCTGTAGTTCCAGCTACTTGGAAGGCTGAGGCGGAAGGATCACTGGAGCCCAACAGGTCGAGGCTGCGGTGGCCAGGAGCGACCACTACACTCCAGTCTGGGCAACAGAGTGAGAATACAACTCAAAAAATAAAAAAAAAAATAAAGTACCTCACCCAACCACCACCACAGACACATATACAGGAAAAAGTATTTCCCTGTGAAAGTTAATATGAAAAATTAGAAGAGGTGACTGCGCACCTGATGTACAGATATCAATGAAAGCACACAAGAAACATAAGAACGCGAGGAAATATGACACCTCCAAAGGAACATAATAATTATCCAACAATAGATTCCAACAGAAAAGAAACTGATTAGTGCTTGGAAAAGAATTCAAAATAATGATACTCATGAAGCTCAGTGAGACACCAGAGAACACAAACTACATAAAGAAAAATCAGAAAAACAATTCAGAACACAAATGAGGAATGAGAAATTCACCAAAGAGATAGACATCATAAAAAAGCATCAGACAGAAATTCTGGAACTGAAGAATTAAATGAATGAAATTAAGAAATACAACTGAGAACCTCAACAGTACACTACATCAAGCAGGAGAAACAATTTTAGAATTTGAAAACAGGTCTTTCAAAATAATCCGGTGAGACCAAAAAAGAATAAAAAAGAACAATGAAAGCCTACATGCAAACTATTTAACAAAATAGTAGTTAAAAACTGCCCAAGCCTTGCAAAAGATTTAGATATCCAGATACAACACACTCAGATTCCCAAATATACGACCCACAAAGGTCTTCTCCCAGGACATTACTGTCAAACAGTCAAAAGTAAAAGACAGGGAGAATTCTAAAAACAGCAAGAGAAAAAGGTCTAGTTACATATAAGAAAACTCCCATCAGACTAATAGCAGAAACAATAGAGAATGGCATAATATATTCAAAGTGCAAAAAGAGGAAAAAAAAACCTGTCAGGCAAGAGTATCCCTCCTAAATGAAGGAGAAATAAAGACTTTCAGAGACGAGCAAAAACTGAGGGAATTTATCACCACTAGACAGGCCCTATCAGAAATGCCTCAAAGAGGCCTACACCTGGAAGCGAAAGAATGGGATCTACCATCATGAAAACATGTAAAATTACAAAACTAAGGAGTAGAGCAAGCACATGAATGCGAAGGAGCCAGTACTCAAGTGCTACCACTACAGAAAACTACCAAATCATTAAGATAAACAGTAAGACAGAAAGAAGCAAAACAACCAGAAAACAAGTATCAAAATGACAGGAATAATTCCTAGCATATCAATAGCAACCTTAAATGTAAATGAATTAAAATTTCCACTTAAAAGAATGGAATAAAAAACATCTAAGCCGGGCACAGTGGTTCACGCCTGTAATCCCAGCACTTTGGGAGGTGGAAGTGAGAGGACTGTCTGAGTCCAGGAGCTCGAGAGTGGCCTGGGCAACTGGGTGAGACCTCATCTCTACAATAAATTAAAAAATCAGCTACGTGTGGTGGCACATGCCTGTAATTCCAGCAGCTACTTGGAAGACTGAGGTGGAAGGATCACCTGTGCCCAGCAAGTCAAAGCTGTGGTAGCCGTGAGCATGCCACTGCACTCCAGCCTAGGAGACAGAGTGAGACTCCAACTCAAGAAAACCCCAAAAAACCAACGACCATTATCCAACTATATGCTGCCTACAAGAAACACACTTCACCTGCAGAGACATACATAAACCGAAAGTAAAAGAATGGAAAAAAAATATTTCATACAAACCAAAAGTGAACAGGAGTAACTACACTTAAATCAGATTTTTAAAAAAAGGTAATCATAACTGTAAGAGACAAAGGAGGTTATTATGTAATGTTAAAGAGATCAATTCACCAAGAGGACATAACAATTCTAAACATATATGCACCCGACACCAGAGCACACACATACATAAAGCAAATATTATTAGATTTAAAGGGGGAGATAGACTACAATACAATAATAGCTGAGGACTTAAACACCCCACTCTCAGCAATAGAAAATCATCTAAACCATGCACGGTGGCTCATGCCTGTAATCCCAGTACTTGGGGAGGCCAAGGCGAGAGGACTGCTTGAGCCCAGGAGTTTGAGACCAGCCTGGGCAACATAGCAAAACCTCATCTCTACTAAAAATAAAATAAATTAGCTGGGTATGGTGGCGTGGGCCTGTAGTCCCAGCTACTTGGGAGGCTGAGGCAGAAGGATCACCTGAGCCCAGGAGGTCAAGGCTACAGTGAGTCATGTTCATGCCACAGCACTCCAGACTGGGTAACAGAGTGAGACCCCAACTCAAAAAGAAAACTTTTAAAAAAAGAAAGAAAATCATCTCGACAGAAGTCAATAAAGAAAAAGGCTTTAAACTGTACTTTGGGCCAAATGAACTCAATGGACATTTACAGAACATTTCATTCAACAACTGCAGAATGCACATACATCTCATC